GTCTGTCTGTTAAGGTGTGTGTGTCTGTCTGTCTGTGTCATGGTGTCTGTCTGTATGGTGTGTGTGTGTGTCTGTCTGTATGGTGTGTGTCTGTCTGTCTGTGTCATGGTGTCTGTCTGTATGGTATGTGTGTCTGTCTGTCTGTCATGGTGTGTGTGTTTGTCTGTCTGTCATGGTGTGTGTGTGTCTGTCTGTCCATCATGGTGTGTGTGTCTGTGTCATGGGATGTGTGTCTGTCTGTCATGGGGTGTGTGTCTGTCCATCATGGGGTGTGTGTCTGTCCATCATGGGGTGTGTGTCTGTCTGTCTGTCATGGGGTGTGTGTCTGTCCGTCATGGGGTGTGTGTCTGTCCGTCATGGGGTGTGTGCCTGTCTGTGTCATGGTGTGTGTGACTGTCTGTGTCATGGTGTGTGTGTGTGGGTCTGTCTGTGTCATGGTCTGTCTGTGTCATGGTCTGTCATGGTGTGTGTGTGTCTGTCATGGGGTGTGTATCTGTCATGGTATATGTGTGTTTCTGTGTCTGTCATGGTGTATATGTGTGTTTAAAAATAGTGTTTTTGCTCACCTTTTTTTTCCCCACGCAGCGTGCTGGTCTCCCCTCGACTGGCCCTGCCTCTATAGCTGAGATCATCAAGCTTGATGATCTCAGCCAATCCAATGCTTTCCCATAGGATTGGCTGCAAAACGCCACTCCAATCAGCATCTCCTCGTAGAGATGCATTGAATCAATGTATCACTATGGGGAACGTTCAGCACCTACAGAGTGTGGAGGCCCTGAATGTAGGTGCACCGACACAGGAAGCACCTCTAGTGACCGTCTGAGTGACTGTCACTAGCAGTGTCACTTTGAAGCAATGTAAACACTGCCTTTTTTCATGTCTGGCTGCTAAATCAAGATGCACAATTTTAAGCCCGGCATTTATACAGTGACACTCCCTTGCACTTACCTACACAGGCACCATGCACAAATATACCTTTGCATTCACACATATACAGGCACTTTGTACAACATACACACCTGCATTGACACAAACACCGACTGTATATATACACTGCAACATTTACACACAATGCTCAAAAATACTCATGAGTACACACACAAATGCACACTAACACACCATAAAAATACACCCCCCAGCATTCAAACACTAACATTGACACAAAATACAAATACATCCATTGCACACGTCAGGGGTGTGTAAATTGTACTTGTCCTTCAGCTTCTCACCTTCTGTTGACCATAGTTTGCTCTGTTTTGCCCCTCTCCTGCTTAGCTTTAGGGTAGTCTGTTGAGGGTTAGCTTCCTGGCAGTCTAGTGTGGCAGATCACAGAAATCGCTCCCTTACAGTCCAGCACTCCTTCAGTTAGAGCAAGCTTCCCTAAACTCCAGCCATCCAGATGTTGCTGAACTACAACTCCCATGATTCTCAGCCTATCTATTTCATTCATAGAATCATGGGAGTTGTAGTTCAGCAACATCTGGAGGGCCGGAGTTTGGTGAAGCCTGAGTTAGAGTGTGTGCTGGGAATACAAGCGGTTATGTTCTGAATCATTAGACAGCACCAGACAATGAGGATGTGATTAAAGGAATACTCCGAGTACCATAACAATTTAAATTAAGAAGTGGTGAAGGTGTGCGGAGATCCTGAGCGCTGGCTTACCAATCGGCATTAAACAGTTAATGAATGGTTTAACCCATAGTATGACACCCTTCAGCTCTATCCATCAACTTCCGTTTGACAGGTTGAGAACATCAGCTGACACTCTCAAGCTATCTGTTATGCCTCATTCACAAAAAGGAGTGACAAAAGTGCATTCCTGAGTTGAGGGCAGAGGACAGATTGCTGCTTGTAGCACCCAAAACCGGTGGAGCCCCCCCACCCTGGAGCCCTCTAGGGGAAGAAAGCACGGGGTATCAGGCTCAGTACAGTTGCTACCGGACCCTTATAGATAAAGGCCCTTTCATCTCACTATACTCCCCCAGCTACTCCCTGCTTCGGACTTCCATCCTGCACCAGTTACTCCTTGCTTCAGCTTCCCTAATCTTCTCAGTTCCCCCATCCTGCCCACGTTACACCCTGTTTCAAATCCTGTAACCCCATCAACCCCTTATCCTGCTCTACTTGAAAAAAGGGTCTGCATCATACTTTTTTTTCAGGACTGAATATCTGCTCCTCAGTGTGTTGGCATTTTAGTTTCAGAATTATTGTTCATTACCACTTTAGTTTGTTTACTGCTGTTATAGTTAATATTTATACTTATGTTGAATTTACAAATGTAATCTTTGTTTTGGGGTTAATAAAAATAGTAGGTTTAAAATTGTAGGAGGTATTGGATGAGTGCATGACCTGGAGGGGCTCTATTAAAATGTTTCGCACAGGGTCTAAAGGCCTAGGGCTGGTCCTGCTTTCTGTCCAGCTATTTTGGCCTGAAATGAACATTGTAGGCACTGAAACTGCTTCATCCCCCAATCCGCCTCCTTGGCTGACATCATCAGAATTGATAACATTAGCCAATCACAATGCTTTTCCATGAGAAAGAATTGGATTGGCTGAGATAGTCAATTTTGATGATCTCAGCCAAGGAGGTGGGGTGAGGGTCAAGGTCAAACGCCGACCTAGCCAATCAGTATCTCTTTATAGAGATGCATTGAATCAATGCAACTCTATGGGGAGCTTTCAGCGTCTCCATATATACAGAGCGTGGAGATGCCGAACGGTAGTGGAAGCACCTCTAGTGGCCTTCTGAGGAATAGCCACTGTAGGTGTTCCTAGGCTGTAATTTTCAGAGAAAAGGCAGTGTTTACATTAAAAAGCCTTCAGAGACATACTATACTCAGCAAAACAATTGCATTAAGCTGTAGTTGTTCTGGTGACTATAGTGTCCTTTTAAGTTTGAAATGCAATCCCTTGAATCACTTTTAATCCCAGACAATTTTCACTTTTGTGAATTACCCTGTTAGAGTGCCTCTTTAAAGAGAGATACATATATCTCTGTCCTATATTAAGAGAATTTACAGGGTGATTTACTGCAAATATGTGGATTCGTAAAATTCTACATTTATTTAGCTCATTAATCTATCTTTTAAACATGTTTACTCTGCATTCACCTGCCTCTTCATTCAAGTTGAACAAGGTCTCAGATGCCAGTCACCACCCTTATTAAAGCAAATCTTTCATTCTGCTGATCTTTTTTAATTATATTTTAGCTGTCATATTTTTTGCTGAGCATCGTGAAAACATAAACTTTGTGTACAGTGCTAAACTTGATGGATTTGACAGCTCTCTTAATATGCCGAGTTCACCTAACCTTTAGGAGCTTCCTTACATGTTGATGTTATCAAGCTCTAAACTAATTTTATAGCCATGCTTCAAAAGCAATTACATCAGCAGTTGTAGTGTCTAGATTTTTTTTCCAATCTTATATACTGCATGAATAAAAAAAAAGAAAAAAATATTTTGTCACTAATAACTCATAATGCAAACACAGAGCTTTAAGTATAAGGGATGATTACTATGTTCCCCAAAGTTCGCAGAGGTGTACTTCTCCCACCCCCAAAACAAATGAAATCTAATTAACTGATATATTGGCTCCCAAGATCTGATTAAAGCAATTCTTCCCTTTATGGTTACTTGCAACACAGAAATTTGTGGTTTTTGAGGAATTGATGTCTTACTTATATGATACCACCATGAAAATAAAGAATTAAAAAAATCTACATATATCACTATTTTCTCACATATCCGACTCCTCCCTCTTCCATGTTTTATATTTTCTTACTATTTTTATAGCCTACTTAGATTTGTGATAATGGATATATTTATAAGGCGTTAATTGTACTACATGATGGTCCCATCTGCACTAAATCCCACTTAACACAACCTGGGTTTGAATACATGGGTATCTCTTGCAGAATCTGCCTCACTTCAAGAATGGAATCAAAACTTGGAGAACCCAGGGTGCCACCCACAGTGTATATGCTGATATTCAAATTTACATGATCCAAATAAAGGAACACTAAGTTACAAGAGCTCTATGTTTATTTTAATTTCATGATGAATATATTATATATATGTTATATGATATGTGCATGTTTATAGAGGATATCCTGCCTTACCCTTGGGGTAGCCATGTTTGTTCTTAATTGGTCAGAAGCATCACTTGTGCGTTGATGAACACCCAATCTATTAAGTGACTGTTGTAACGTACAGTCTACCAGTACTGAAACACGTTTTTGGCTCATGTGCCACATAATTAGACTAGCTCTGTCACTCCATATGAAAACTGAGTTTTTCATAAAGATCACATTTTTATGAAATACCCAGATTGCCTGTGTTGGAATTTCACTGAAATTTTAACCATATTAACAGATATACTGAGAAAAGTGAGTACTACTTTGTCTCAGTATTTCTCCTCTGCTTGACAAAATTGTGGAGTCACCTTTTGTCAAGCTTGTCATTTCCCCTAGCTGTCACCAGTGCAGGATGTAGGGAAAAAGGCTCATTCTGTGCATACCCGCGGTATCGCTTGATCCTCCTTAGACCTCAATGTTGTATTCTTGTGCATGCGCAAGAGTCACCTGAAGCGCCAGGAGCTGAAGAAGAGCAGATGGAAGAGGACGACGCACCTGCGAGGGACCTGCTGCCGCTCATGGCCAGAGGAACCCCTGCATTGATGTCACTGTCAAGGGTACCCCAGACAGTGACAGAGCCACTCTAATGAACTGTCTCAACCCTCCTAAATGTGCACTGGTTATAAAATATAATAGAAGGATTATAAACACAATAAGAAAGTACTGTAATTACAAAGATATGTGATATATTCTGGATAATATGATACACAAGTGTTCTTGTAATGGATGGTGGTTTGATATAAATATATATATATATAAATGTATGTATATATATTCATTTATTTATTGTTATGCTCCAATAGCTGATGCACAGCTCCATTCAATTAACAAAAAAAGTGACAAAGAAAGTCAATATATTTAAAAGATGCCAAGGCGCAAGCTTTATTTAGCCGAAGAGTAACAAAGAAAGAAAATACAGTTTTTAGATATAAAACTCTGCTAATAACAATGAGTATCTAATTCATAAATGTGCTCAAATACATTACTGTATTGCAATTGGGGTCTGTTTAATTACCATCCATGAATTGTAGCACTTTCTGGTAGAGAAATATATATTTTTTTAAATTATAGAAACAGCCAAGGTTATTCACTAATGCCTTGATTGTCGGAATATAATCTGAATGTAAATTTTGGTCCAAAATAGACATATTTTCCATATTGTCCAGGTCACCAAAGGTTTCATTTCAGCTATATTCACTTTGAATCCCAACAGTTCACTAATAATTCACACGTCCATGATTAACCCTGTTTATTTCCGTTTTGTTGGATTCATAAATCAGAACACAGTTTTCCCCCAGAATACCAGACAATGTTTCTAATAGCAACATTATAGCAACAAAGCACTTTTGTCTGTCTAATACACGTTCATGATGTTGGTGTGGTTAAGTATATAGTTCCGTTGATTGCTCAACCAATTTACAGTGCACAGTGACGGAATATGCACAGGATTTATACACAGAGACAAGATAGTTATTTATTATTTCATTATTATTTTACCTTACTTATGTTGGTACATGTCTGTGCACCTATGTATATGCCTATGCACTTGGCTAAAAATCTGTAAAACTGGGAAATAAAAAGGATGTGTGTAGGCAAGGAAATGGTCTGAAAGTTTAGAATTAGGGATTTAAAAATGGCGAGGGGGATGGGGGTTTATTGACCCTATAAACCAGGGGTTCTCAACCCAGTCCTCAGGACCCCCTACCAGTCCAGGATTTGGGGATTACCTGGGTGTGTCTCAGGTGTTTAGAAAAAGGGAAAAAAACACCTTAGACTCTAAGGTGTTTTTTTTTTCTTTTTCTAAACACCTTAGACACACCCAGGTAATCCCTAAACCCTGGACTGGTAGGGGGTCCTGAGGACTAACGTTGAGAACCCCTGCTATAAACACATCCCAAGGCACTCATAAAACATCATCTGGAATTATTTATGGATTGCCTTAGAAACTGCAAACTCTGAAAAGTTTAACCAGGATTGTTAATATGGAGTGTCACAACTAGGCAAACAACATGTTAAGTTAGTTGCGAGGGCTGTGAGTGTTGTGTGCGTGAAAAGCAACGTCTCTGGTAGTCAGAGGTAAATCCAAAGGATGAATGTGAAATGTATTCAAGCTCTGGTTGCTAAAGTATATACACATTAACAGGGTTATTCACTGTAGTGAGCATTGTTGGGAATTCAAATTTAAGGCCAAAGTAGTCAAACTGGAAAATGAATCTCCAAGTCAGCTATGCTTCGAGTTTTGGTTACTCTGGCCTTAAAGGGACACTATAGTCACCGAAACAACTTAAGCTTAATGAAGCAGTTTGGGGTATTTTTCATGCCCCTGCATTATCACTGCTCAATTCTCTGCCATTTAGGAGTTAAATCACTTTGTTTATGAATCCTAGCCACACCTCCCTGCATGTGACTTGCATAGCCTTCCTCAAAATTTCCTGTAAAGAGTCATCTACAGATTATCATTCCTTTATTGCAAGTTCTGTTTAATTTAGATTTTCTTATCCTCTGCTATGTTATTAGCTTGCTAGACCCTGCAAGAGCCTCTTGTATGTGATTTAAGTTCAATTTACAGAAAAAGAGATACAATTGTTTAAGGTAAATTACATCTGATTGAAAGTGAAACCAGGTCTTTTTCATGCAGGCTGTGTCAATCAGAGCCTCGGGAGGTGTGACAATGGCTGCATAAACAGAAAAAGTGATTTAACTCCTAAATGGCAGAGAATTGAGGAGTGAAACGTGAGAAGCATGATGAAGCAAGTTGTTTAGGTGACTATAGTGTTCCTTTAAATTTAAAAATCCATTTGAATTCCTGACAATTTTCCCTTTAGTGACTAACTCTTCAAGTCTTTAGATTGTTGATCAGCGCATGCTTTACATTTGATTGAAAGACAATCTGATCATTAGATTCTTAGCTTGCACTAAAATAATTACAATCTTTAATTCAGAGCAATACAATCACACAAGCACTGCAGGGACAGCACTGATGACCTCTTATTACAATTTACTATAGTCTACAGAAAGCTGTATTTAAAATTTCATTTTCACTAGCACAATATTTAAAAGCAACAGAGATTGGATCATAAAGTGAGAATAAAACCACCATAGCTGCCTATGTTTCTTGTTTAGATTATAATACTACCAGCTCTTTTATCCTTTTCTCTGTCAATCGTGTTTTTAACATTGCTGCAGCTATAAGCCACACCTTTGATTTCACTGAGGGAAACTATGCTACACTTTGGCAGGACAAGTTCTTGCATGATGTGCACAAACATTGCAGAAGTCCAGAGTACTTTTTATGTCGACTCTGATATCTTTCCATGAAAAAAACCTGTACGGCAGCAGTGCATGAGTATTCATGAAAATGTTTAAGGAATTTGGTGAACAAATGTCAGATTATGGCATTAGCAGCTTGCTGAGTAGGTTTGTTAGTGTTTTTCCATATGTATGAATTCAGCCAAATGCGGCATGCATAGGGAGTAGGAAGACCTCTACTAGGTGCAAACTCAGAGTATTCCTCTTTTGCGAACTTGCAAGCCATTCACAGCATTGACACTGGTTACCGCGGTAACCCTCTGATTCCCGGAGTTCCCTGGCTCACGAGAGGACTTCATACAGCCTGCACCCAGCAGAGGTGCAGAGTGAAACACTGGATCTGAATATTCCATCCCCCGAACTATGTAGGCAAAGTTGGGAGGGCATAAAATGTAATATTAATTAATATCCATAAATTGCTCTCTCACCCTTAAGGGACCACTATAGACACCCAGACCACTTCAGCTTAATGAAGTGGTCTGGGTGCCAGGTCCATCTAGGTTTATCCCTTCCTGCTGTAAACATAGCAGTTTCAGAAAAACTGCTATGTTTACTAATGGGTTAATCCAGCCTCTAGTGGCTGTCTCATTGACAGCCGTTAGAGGCGCTTCCGCGCTTCTCACTGTGATTTTAACAGTGAGAAGACGCCAGTGTCCATAGGAAAGCATTGAGAATGCTTTCCTATGAGACCGGCTGAATGTGCGATGACGGCAGAAGAAGGAGGAGATTCCCCAGCGCCGAGGGAGCCCGGCGCTGGAAAAAGATAGGAATTTAACCCCCTTCCTCACCCTAGAGCCTGGCGGGAGTGGGACCCAGAGGGTGAGGGGGATCCAAGGACCCTATAGAGCCAGGAAAACGAGTATGTGTTCCTGGCACTATAGTGGTCCTTTAAACCATCTCACCCCCCACACATTACATGCCAATACACACTTCATTCCTTATACACACTACATACCCTATACCCAAAAACTCTCTACAGCTACACACACCCTACAGCCCCTATACACACACATTGCATTCCACTTATAAACATGACATTCCCTATACATACGTACACTCAGGGCCGTCTTTAATAACGAATGGACCCTGGGCAAGTGTTTGCTTGGGCCCCCTGGGCCCTGCCGCTCTCGCCCCTCACTCCCTGGTATGCAATCACGGCATCCATCCCAACGCAGTGGCGGTACTAAAGTAGAATGAATTTTATTGGGACCCCCAATTGCAAGGTTGGACTAAAGGTAGAACCCCATCTGTCGTGCAACTCCAACAATGCTTTGACAGCTGGGACTCTACCAATTTCCCATGCTTGCAGGGTTGTATTTAGCACTGAGCCATGTTAGTATGTTTGAATGTAAGCATGTGTTTGTATGGAGTATGTTTGTGTGAATGTGTTTGTATGTGGTACTGGAGTTTGAATGCAAGTGTGCATTTATGTGTAGTGTTTGTTTTTGAATGTAGGAGTGTGCTTGTATGTAGTGTTGACGTTTCAATGCAGGAGTGTGTTTTATATGTAGTGTTGAAGTTTGAATGGAGGGGTGTATTTGTATTTAAAGTTGCGGCTCAGATGCACAGGTACACACTCTGACGCACAAGCAGATACACAGATACATACACTGACTACATACAGATAAACAGGCACATACACTGACAGACATACTGACACAGGTACATATATTGACACACACACAGACACATACACTGGTAGACGTACTGACAGACATACTGACACAGGCACATATACAGACATACTGACACACAGACACATATACCGACATACTGACACACACACACAGACACATACACTGATCAACATACTGACACACATACACTGACAGAAATACTGACACTCACACACTGACAGATATACTGACACCCACATACACTGAGAAATACTGACACACACAGACTGATATACTGACACACACACACACAGACATACTGGCACACAGACAGATATACTGACACATGCATACACATGCACTAACAGACATACTGACGCACTGACAGACATACTGACACACACATATATACTGACACACAGACAGACAGACTGACACACACACACAGACATACTGACACACACACACAGACATACTGACACACACACAGACAGGCATACTGACATGCACAGACAGACTGACACACACAGACATACTGAAACACACACACACAGATATACTGACACACAGACAGACATACATACTGACAAAAACACACACAGACATACTGACACACAGACAGACATACTGACACACACACACTAACACACAAACACACACACTAACACACATACACTAACACACACTAACACACATACACTAACACACAAACACACACTAACACACAAACACACACTAACACACAAACACACACTAACACACATACACTAACACACACATACACTAACACACAAACACATAAACACACACATTTTTTTTTTTAAATGTAATCCCCCCAGCCTCCTTACCTTTTGGAGTGCTGGGGGGATTCCCTGGGGTCCAGTGGTGCTGCTGACCCCGGCGGGCAGGTGGCCGGTCGGGCAGGAAGGCGGACGCGCGAGGGAGCACTCACTGCTTCCTCTTCAGCTCCCTCGCGCGCTGCATAGGGATGCTGGTATCAGTGCGGAAGCAGTGAGTGCTCCCTCGTGCGCCCGCCCGCCTTCCTGCCCGACCGGCCACCCGCCCGCCGGGGTCAGCAGGGCCAGCCTCCTTGGCCCCCCAGGGGAAGACGCTGGCCCTGTGGGTGCATACCAGGGTATGTACGCCACTGCCCTAAGTGCATGGGCCACCTGGTGGGACGGGGAAAAAAATAAATTGATGAGGGCAGCGGGGCCCACGGGGCAGGTGCCTCGGGTCCCCCAAGAGAAACTGGGCCCGGGGCAGCTGCCCCGTGTTAAAGACGGCCCTGTCTGGGTGCAGAAAAACTTTTGGCACCCCAGGTGGGCATGGTCATCTTTCTAACCCCTCCTATTTGCAACAACTCCACCTCTCCATCTAGACACACACTCACAGACAGTCACACACACTGACAGAAACATACTCAGGCAGAAACATTGAAACACACTCTCAATGACAGATACACAATCTCACTGATTTGAAACACTCACTGACAGACACATAATGGTACACAAAACAAGGAAGTCCAGCACTCAGCGTTTTAAATCACAACATACATAATCACACAATTACACACACACTGCCCCATGCATACCTAGACAGTCACACACAATACAATACACACACATTCACACTGTCCTATGGACACTGTATCACACACACACACTCTCTCTCTCACAGACACACAGTCCTTGCTGTCATGAACACTGGGATGAGGAAAGGAAGCCAGGGTTCCTAGTGTCTAGTGGGAGGCAGGTATTCCTTTCTGCTTCCCCTCTGTTCAGCAGCAGCTCTAGACTTGGTGACGTCTCCTTTCTCACCTGACCGGTATATTCCTGCAGAGTAGGCACCTGCCATCTGGGATAAGCAAGTGCCTCCTCTACATACAATATGAGGTGGAGTATCTTCTTGTTTAAAATAGATATTAAAATAACCTAGAGATAAAACAAAAAAGGACACATAATAGTGCAATATTGTCTAAATCTCCTATAAATTACAGGGAAGTATGTGGGAATAAACTCACAAAGCAGGAGCCTGTAGAGTAAGGCTCAATCTTCCAGCGTTGTGGGATTTAGGTTCCCACTCCCTTCTTTATACTTCCAGGAGGTGACGAATAATGGGATGTCCTCTCACAGGTAGGTATAAATGGTGAAAAGTGCTTTATTAATAAAGTGCACAAGTAAAATATAAAAACAAAACCTTACAGTTGAAGGTAATCTTGTAGAGATAGTCTCTGGTAGCAAAACGCGTTTCGCCTCATGTAGAGGCTTCCTCAGTTGCTGTAGATACTTGCTGTGAATGTTCTTTATTTGTAGTTTAAATTTCTCGCCCTTTTTCTGGCTTAATTGTTCGATCGCGGTATTTTCACTTCACGTTCCACAAGTGGAACGCATTGGTTCAGTAATTTCCGGTTTCGGCATTTGCGTTCCAACAGTGGAACGCATGCGTTTCAATTCTGGTTTTCATGTATAGGGACGTGTCTCTGCGTTCCACTGTGTTTAATTCTTTATTGGCAGTTCATTGTACACTTAAAATAATTGTCATTGTGCAATAAAGTCTCACAAAGCAGAGATTTGAGAGAAAAATAAAATAGATGCATATTATCAATACAAATAAGTATAGTGAAGAGGAGCAGCTCTTATGTAAACAGGAAATATAAAATAAGCGCCTTAAAATTTCTATATGAATCTTGTTCTCTTGTAAAAAGGGAACTGAGAATTTTAGAATATAAATATAAATAAAAGATACTGATAATAAGACAAGAATAAAATAGGATTAAAACAGCCCCTAAATTAGCTTAAAATAAGAAACTCTTGTTAAAAAACGTATTGTTAAGAAACTGAATATTTAAAAGTGGCAAACCTCAAAATCTGAATTCAGACCATAGGGAATAAGAGTTTTAAAAGTATATATGAATTTCATTTCTTCTTTCCCTAATGTTTTAATGTAATTACTCCCTCTCCAATCCCGTTTCACTTCTTTAATTGCACAGAAAAATAAATTCTCTGGGTTTTGGTTGTGAGTGTCTTTAAAATGTTGCGATACACTATGGGTTTCCAAGCCATTTTTAATATTGCGAATGTGTTCAGCAATTCTAACTTTTAAAGGTCTAATGGTTCTCCCTACATAAAGCAGATTACAAGGGCATTTTAAAATATATAAAATACTCTTGGAATGGCACGTCAGATGGTCTTTAATAGTATACGGTTTGTAGATAATACTTTCTAAGTCTTCAAGATGTCTTTTTGTTTGTTTAGTTGTTCTGCATGGGAGACATGTACCGCAACCATAAAATCCTTTAAGATCCTGAATAAAATGCTTAGGTTTTGTGGGATTTAAGTGACTCTTAACTAATATGTTTTTAAAATTTTTGGCTCCTCTGTATGTGATCCTGGGTTTTGGGGGTAAAATTTTATATAAAATTGGGTCATCTTTTAATAGGTGCCAATGTTTATCTATAGTCTTATGTATACGTTTGTTATGTCCGTTAAAATTACAGATAAAAGGAACTTCATTAGTATCGGTTCGTGTTTTCTTTGATTTGTATTGAATAAGTTAATTTCTTTTTAATTTGCCTACATCTTCTAGGTCTTGGTTCAAAGACGTTTCGTTGTATCCCTTTTCCATAAACTGCTGTTTAATATAATGGGCCTGTTCTAAGTAATCACTATCTAGTTTACAGTTACGACGGATCCTTAAAAATTGGCTCCTAGGGGCGTTGTGTAACCAGGGTTTATGATGACAACTACTGATATCGATGTAGCTGTTGGCATACACTGGTTTAAAATGATTTTTGGTGACTATCGTGGCATCTTGGATCCTGATATCAAGGTCTAAAAAATTGATATTGTGTTCGCTGTAAGTGCTAGTTAAATTGATTCCATAATCATTATTGTTGAGGTATAAAATGAATTCTTTTAGAGCCTCTGTGGTACCGGTCCATATAAAAAAAATGTTGTCTATGAAACGGCAATAGGACACCAAACTCGCCCTCCATGGATGTCCTTGGATTACGAATGCCTCTTCCCAAAATGCCATGAAGAGGTTAGCATAGCTTGGGGCGAATTTGGTGCCCATTGCCGTTCCACTGATTTGTAGGTAAAAAGTATTTTCAAACCAAAAGTAGTTGTGAGTTAAAATTAATGAAATTCCTTCTAAAATATACTGGGTTTGCTCTTCTTTAAAATCAGATTTTTCTAAAAAATATTTCACTGCTGCTATTCCTTTATCATGGGGTATAATACTATATAGCGCAGTTACGTCACAAGTGACTAATATATTGCCTTCTATCCATTTCGTTCTTTCTAAAATTTGTAAGACATGAATCGTGTCTTTAAGATATGTAGGGTTTTTTATGACAATTGGCTGAAGGATAGAATCTATATACTCGGAAATTCTAGTGGAAATTGAATCTATGCCAGATATAATTGGTCTTCCTGGAGGATTGGTTATATCTTTATGAATTTTTGGTAATAAATAAAAGACTGGTATTTTGGGATTATCTATCCACAAATAGTCTGTCTCTTTGTCAGTAAGAATTCCTAAGTTTTTTCCTTTCTCCACATACTGCTTGAAGATTTTTATGGTTTCATTCGTAGGGTTATGTGTTCATTTCTGGTAGGTTGAGAAGTCTGAAAGTATTCTATCTGCTTCTCTGATGTATAACACTTTATCTAGAATTACCGTTCCTCCCCCCTTGTCAGCAGATTTAATCACTAATTGATCATCATTTTTAATTTCTTTTAAAGCTTTTTTTCCCTTTATCGATAAATTCTGTTTATATTTATTAATTTTCCTAAATTTCTCTACATCCTTCATCACCATTGTTTCGAAGGTTTGGATTGCATCTGAAATCAAGTGTCTTGGGAAGAACTGGGATTTAGCTTTAAGTGATGTGTGAATGTATCCATCATTTAGTTCTTCTGGCAAATTATTTTCTTTATTGTAAAAAAAAATTTTTAAACATAATTTTCTTTTAAATAAATTCATGTCGACAAAAAAAATCAAAAGAGTTAAAATCAGCTGTAGGGGCGAATTTAAGACCTTTATTAAAATTTTTTGCCTGTTCTAAAGTAAGCGTTTTATCTGTTAAATTAAAAATTCCTTCTAAATCGATGTCTTGCCCCTCTTCTCTCTGTGTTTTCCTCTTTCTTCCCTGTCTCCTTCTTCTTCCGTTGAACGTTGTCTTTTCCCCTGCATTTCCCACGATTGCATGTTGTCTGTCCACTTTCTTCTGTTTTGTATTAAGTCCCTCCGAAAAAAAAGAAGGTGATGGCGGGGTATCTGGAGGGGGTGATGTGTCGATATTCTTTTTTCTTTGTTCTCTATATTGGGAAATTGGTCTATCATGGGATTGATGGGAAGGCTCTTTGTTGGGGCATTTTTGTTCTTTCCTTTGAATTCCTTCTTTTACTACATCACTATATTTTCTAAAATCCTGCCTCCTCTGCCTTGCTACCTAACTGCCATTCCGGGGGCGCCCTTAGGTGGCCAGCTGGCCACCCTGTGACAGGCCATCGGCCTACTCTGCGCGGCGCCTCCCACTTCTTGGCGCAGTGCACCCTGTGCACCCGCCCAGGATCGGCCCTGTGAAAGTGTATGTGTGTTAGGGTGTGTGTATGTGTTGGTGTGTATTTATGGGTGTATGTGTCGGTGTTTATATGAATTTGTGTGTATGTATGTGCATACATCCAAGCAGTCATACACCAGCACAACATACAAACACACTTTTGCAATCTAACACAAATATTACATAGAAACACACCCATGCATTCAAACTCCAAAATGATATACAAACACACTCTTTCACTCAAACACAAATACTTCACACAAATGTACACCCACATTTAAAAGTGAACATTACATTCAAACATACCCCTGCAATCAAACATTACATACAAACACACCCCAGTAAATGCCGCAGCGCTGTACAGATATGCAGCCTAGAAATTTTGACTTGGGGTGCCTTGGAAAAAATTTGAAATATTAAGGGCGCCTTGAACCTAAAAAGTTTGGGAACCATTGTCTAAAGACAATTAGGTTAGGAGACAGATTCAGTAATTTGATTAAAACTGTAGATACCAAAAAAAAAGCAAATATCTCACTGACCGATACAGAGCCACATCAATGGATTTTATTCTAATAATTAGTTATGTCATAGATTTGCTCCAAGCCAAATCAACAAGTTCCAAAATGTGTCTGGGTAATTAACTCCAGTGACTCAGTGTTATCAAAAGACACAGACCCAGGAATTTTACACAGACTGCATTAGCCTCCGTCTCTCTTAATGTGATAAATATATAGCAAGCATTTAACAGCAAGAGACAGGATATTCAGCGACCTTATCAACAGTCTTGTAAATTAATTTTTCACACAATATTACACTCATTAGGAACTACTATATATACTTATACAATTCTACGAGTACTATAATACAATCCCTCACAAAATGGGATGTTTATATTGGACATAAGAGAGTCTTGAAAATAGGGTATAGCTCAACACATAGAACCAATACTTATCATAGCACTATGTTATATAGTACCCAAAGAAATAACCATATAATTGTCAGGTTTGAAGTGTAGGAGCTCAGTACATGACTAAAAAAATCTAGAATGAGGTACAGACCAGGAGATTTCAGAAAGCGTAATCAGGTCATACAAAGGGCCGGTCCATTCAGCAAAGGTATACAATCGAGCAGACTAGTAAATGGCCAATAACCAGTAAAGAGACAACACAATAGCAGCAAGTCGAAGCGGGTAACTCTCTGGAATCCACAGTACGTCTGAGCAGCGAGAATGTGTCTTATGTGGCATTATATAGGGTTAACTAGTGTATAACCCCCTGTATCAACTTGTATCACCAACGTCACTCTTAAGCTGTTCTGCCCACCTCTGCCAGGCATAGCTCTACGGGCTCAGTAGAGAGCACTGACAGTGTTGTTTGCGTTGAAAAATGTTGCGCTGGGTTCCCTTCGAGCCACATAGGCAAAATTTAGGGAATGCGAGGACCATAGATC